ATGTGTATCCACAATTATAGTGTCATACAGAATAGTTTCATCACCTTAGAAGTCCCTTGCACTTCACGCATCTATCCCTGCTCTCCGCCCCCACCCCAGAACCAGGCAACCACTAATCTTTTTACTATCTCTGTGGTTTTGCCTTTTCCAGAATGTCATACAGTAGGAATTATAGAATATGTAGCCTTTTCAGATTGGCTTCTTTTATTTAACAATACACATTTCAGGTTCCTTCATGCCTTTTCATGGCTTGATAGCTCATTTCTCTTTATTGCTGAATAAAATTCCGTTGTCTGGATATACCACAGTTTTTTAATCCATTCACCTATGAAGGATGTCTTGGCTGCTTCCAAGTTTTTGGCAGTTATTAATAAAGCTGCTATAAACATTTATGTGCAGGTTTTTGTGTGGACGTATGTTTTTCAACTCATTCGGTTAATAGCAAGGAGCCACAATGGCTAGATTGTACGGTAAGAGTATGTTTGCCAAACTGTCTTCCAAAGTGGCTACACCATTTTGCATTCCCACCAGCAGTGAATGAGTTCCTGTTGCCCCATACCCAAGTTAATGCTGTCAGTGTTTTGGATTTTAGACATTCTAATAGGTGTTTAGTGGTATCTCATTGTTGTTTTAATTTGTAAGTCACCAATGACATATGATATTGCACATCTTTGCGTATGCTTATTCGCCATTTGTATATCTTCTCGTCTATTTGTATTTTTATTTACTTTTTTTTTTTTCCTTTTTTGTCTTTTTTACTGACCGGTAATGGGATCGCAACCCTCAGTGTCGCGCCCATACTGGGGACCGGCAACGGGATCGCAACCCTCAGTGTTGCGCCCGCACCGCGCTCAGCTAGTGAGCGGGAACTGGTCTCCACGTGGGATCCGAACCCTTGGCGGGAGCACCGCCGCGCTCCCAAGCGGCGCACTCTCCAGTGCGTCACTGGGCCGGCCCTTTATTTACTTTTTAATTGAGTTATTTATTTCCTTATTGTTGAGTTTTAAAAGTTCTTTGTATAGTTTTGATACCAGTCTTTATCAGATATGTGTTTTGCAACTATTTTTTCCCAGTCTATGGCTTGTCTGTTCATTCTCTTAGTGTATTTTGCAGAGCAGTAGTTTTTAATTTTAATGACGTTTAATTTACCAATTTTTTTCTTTCATGGATTTTGCTTTTTATATTGTGTCTAAAAAGTCATCACCAAATCCAAGGTCACCTAGATTTTCTCTTATGTTATTTTCCAGGAGTTTTATAGTTTTATGTTTTATATTTAGGTTTGCGATCCATTTAGAGTTAATTTTTGTGAAAAGTATAAGGTCTGTGTCTGGGTTCATTTTTTGGCATGTGGATGTTTAGTTGTTCCAGAACCATTTGTTGAAAAGAGCATCTCTTTTTTATTGTATTGCCTTTGCTTTTTTGTCCAAGATCTTGATAATATTGAGACTTCCTATCCGAACATGGAATATCTCTCCATTTATTTAGACCCTCTTTGACTTTTTCCATGAGTTTTGTTTTCGTCATATAGATCTTGTGCAATTTTGGGGGCTTGGATTTGTATGTGTCTTTTTTTTTTTTTTTTTTTTAAAGATGACTGGTAAGGGGATCTTAACCCTTGCTTGGTGTTGTCAGCACCACGCTCTCCCAAGTGAGCTAACTGGCCATCCCTATATGGAATCCAAGCCCTTGGCCTTGGTGTTATCAGCACCGCACTCTCCCAAGTGAGCCGTGGGCTGGCCCATATGTCTTTTATTTTTTGATGCTGATGTGAAAGTTACTTGTTTTAATTTCAAATTCCAGTTGTTAATTGCTTGTATATAAGAAAGCAATTGACTTTTGTATATTAATCTTGTATCCTATAACCCTGCTGTCATTGCTTATTAGTTCCAGGAGATTTTTTTTTCAATTCTTTGGGATTTTTTACATCTATAATCATGTCACATGCAAACTAAGATGGTTTTGTTTCTTTCTGCTCAATCTCTATCACTTTTCTTTTATTGTTTTATTATATTAGTTAGTACTTCCAATATGATGTTGAATAGGAGTGGTGAGAAGGGACATCCTTGCCTTGTTCATGATCTTAGTGGGAGTGCAGCTAGTTTTTAATCATTAATTACGTAGATGTAGTTTTTTCTTTTTTTTGTAGATGTTCTTATTAAGTTGAGGAAGTTTCCCCTCTATTCCTTGTTTGCCGAGAGCTTTAATCTGAATGAGTGTTATGTTTTAAAATTTTTTTTTCTGCATCTACTGATACATTCATACGAGTTTTTTAGCCTGTGAATGTAATGAATTACATTAACTGATTTTCAGATGTTGAACCAATCCTGCATACCTGGAATAAATCCCACTTGGTCATGGCGTATATGTTTTTTTTTATACATTGGTGTATTTGACTTGCTAATATTTTCTTGACAAAATATTTTTGTATCTGTGTTCATTAGAGATAGTGGTCTGTGGTTTTTTTGTTCTGGTAATGTCTTTGTCTCGCTTTGGTATTAGGGAAATGCTGGCCTCACTGAATGAGTTAGAAAGTGTTGTCTCTGCTTCTATTTTCTGGAAGAGATTGTAGAAAATTGGTATAATTTCTTCCCTAAATTTGGTAGATATTCCTTTCTTTCAGTTCTCTAATAGCTCTAACTGTCCTTCTCGACTTCCTTTCCACCCCTTCATCTGGAAGTTCAGGAATCTGCTCTTGACCCTATCCTCACCCTGCACCACCCTTCTCAAGGGACCCCATTTCCCTCTGTGGGTGTAACTAACACCTAACAGTGAAGTTTCCTCAGTCTTAACATCATGAGCATCTGATATCTCATGGGCACTTCAAAGTCGGTGTCTCCAAAACTGATTTATTTTCTGTGGACCCTCCATTTTCTTCTCACAATTGCACTTTATCCTCCTCGCTTGTCCTGCAGACACACCCATATCTCCCTCTTCCTTCTTTTGTGTTCATTGCTCTGATTAAATGATTCTGCCATCCATCCATTTGTCCACACTGGAAACCTGAGTGTTATCCTAGACTGTTCTTTCTAGTTCACCCTCCAAATCCAGTCACTCACATGGTCCTCAAAACCTTCACATCTGAAAGAAAAACAAATTCAAGTTTGCCTTCTCATCCTGGACCCCAGTGCCTTGTTAGTTTATCATCTGAAGCACTGAGAGAGCCTTCTGTCTGCTCTCCCTGCCTCTCCTGCGTTCTGTGCTCTGCACTGTCAACTGTGCAGCATTCCAGAAAACATCAAATTGCTCCTCTGTATCCTACGGAAACAGTCTCCCATGTGACATCTGGAAGCAATCTATTGAGTGTATGGACGTAAAATATTAGAAATTCTGTTTATGTATATATTTCTTTACCTCAACTTACAGAAATTTCTGCTTTTTGTTTTGCAGTGTAGTAGAACAATAGCACCTGCATATAATTTAAATATACTTATGGTATGGTTGAATACTCAAAAGGTACTTTATTGATGGGGTGCATGGTCAAAAGTTTACAGTGTACCATGCCCTCTGTTCTCTGGCCCTTGCTTACTTGTTCCAGACTCCTGTCCAGCTCTTTCGTTTATCCCTGCATCGTGAACTGTGTCATATTGAGCCACATTGTTTCTAGAAGTTACCCGGCTGTCTGTCGCCGTTCTGCTTCTGTTATACTGTTGCTTCTGCCCAGAATTCCTTATTGCTGTTCCCTTCCTCCAGCCCTCATCCTCACCGTGCCCTGCAAACTCCGGTTCTTTCTTAATTCCTGTCTGCGAAGCCCTCTCTGGTTCTACTCTCCCCTCCACAAGTAAAGTCATCACACTGTCCTTCAGTCCCCACGGTGCAGTGCTCATTTATTCATTCCCACAGCACTGTCTGTTGTGTCAACTGGGTGCCCACTGCTCCAGACTTGGGACACGTGGTGTACCCTGTTCACTTCTCTGCCTCCTTCCCGTGACCTCCTTAGAGACAGACCCTTCAGCCTTCCTCCAGCATCCAGCAGCTTTGTTCACCACATGGATAAGTAAATGCACCACTAAAAAAAATAAATGAATGAACCATTGAGCGTCGGCTCTGGGTCACTAACGTGGATTCTGTTTCAATAAAAAATTGATCAGAAATTACATTGTAAATTTGTGGATTTCTATACCTGAAATCTCATTTGATATGCAATTTATGTTCACTCGTTAAATCCAGTCATTCATTTAGTTATAAGTTTGTATAAATTTTGTTAAGCCCAGAAAGTGGAAATGTAATGAGTACCTACAGTTATTCTAGAGCCATTATTTTTGTCTGTGGTTGTAAATTTTGGCATGACCTAATAACTCAAAAACGAACATTCACATGACTTATTTTGGATTTGCCTTGGCTTATGTTAAAATGTATAGGACATTAAAAAGTTGTTTTTGGATGAAGAATAATTAACCTTACCAATTATATGGTCCTTAATTTAAGATATATAACTATAGAACAGATACATTAAGATCTATTTATTTATAGTCCAGACTTTTTTTTCCATAAACAAATATTTACAGGGTAAAAACTTTAAATTCCCTTAGTGTACCTCAGGATTTTTATGTGTTTAATATTTATGTGTATAAGTCACAATTTTTTAGAATCTAACACATTTCACAAAGTGAGGCTTACCATTATAACTGGAACTGGTCACATTTTGTTTCTAAGTGTGTATAAGAAGTGTGTGTCTTGTGGGTTATTGAGACAGACTGCTTAACTGGATTAGTGGAAGAGTAAATAACCCGAAAAGGGTCAAGATTAGGGAATGATATGTCTACCTTAATTATGGTGTTACTGCTAATCCTAGTAATAATTACTGCTAATCCTAGTAATAATTATGCTATTCTTCTGGAGAAAACCAAGTCTGAAAATCTCTTAATGGTTAAAATATACCTTTATGTCTTGAAAAAAATTTTTAACTACTATGATCCCAAATATTAAATGAAAGTTAACTGAATTTACCTTCAGAAATTGGGGTAAACAAAAATGCTGTTGATCCTGTCTTCTTTCTTTAGGTATAACATTGAGCCCAGTTTATATTGCCCATTTTTTTCCCTTGGAGCATGCATGGAAGGCCTGAATATTTTGTTCAGCAAACTCTTGGGGATTTCATTCTATGCAGAGCAGCCTGCAAAAGGAGAGGTGTGGTGTGAAGATGTTCGAAAACTGGTAAGTCTCCCACGTAACACGTAGGCACACTGCTGTCTCCTTTTGGTTTGGCACTTGAGTCTACAGCAGTTTCCTTTTTGAGTTAGTTTTTTCCTGATAGAGTGTGTTATTTCTGTTTCACCAAAAAATCCAAATTGTTACTTTTGATTTAGGATACTGTGTGAAGGATCTAAACATATAACACCAGAGTCCTCTGAAAAATATTTTCTTAGAATTCATTAGAAGGTTGAATCTTCATATGTACCTTCATATGTTCACAGATTCTAGTTACAGGAAAATTTGTCTGTAGTTTTTATGTACCTTCCGTACTGAGTGTCTCTCTTGGTTAATTCCAAAGTCCTTTGCATTAGCTGCCTTTCTTTTCTTTTCCTTCCCCTTCCCATGTTGTAGGGGCTTATATTTGCATCAGATATTAATTTGTATCCTGTGTTCTGATTTATTTGACTTCTTTGATAATAACTTCAAGCCTGAAGTTCATCCTTCTCCTATTAGGGCCCACTTTATTTGAGGTTTGAATATTTATAATTGTTCCTTATAAGACTTTAAGACTTTCTTGGCCCACGTGTTTATGACTAAGGCTTTCCGTCGTGTTGTTTCATCTTTTCGCTCTCACACTTACCACACTGCACCTTTTCCCCTATATTTCAAGTAGTGTAAAATATCTCACTGTTGGCCCTATTTTGTGAGCGCAGAAGAGGCGTGGTGGTGGGACTGAAAGGACAATCAGGACGGGAGGGCATTTTATCCCTGCATTTACTCACCTAAATATCTGTTTGCATATTACGAACTTCCGACATGACAGGGATTGATAAAATGCAGAGATATAATAAAAAGAAAAACTGGTATCAGAAGACTGAAAGGACATGGTGCACGTGACGAAGAGGTTTCACCCAGACTGTGGAATGTGAGCTCCACTGTTTGCCAGAGTGTGCCCTGCCATGTCCCAAGTGCCTTGAACAGTTCCTGGCACCGAGTACCTACTTAATAGACGTTTGTTGAGTGAATGAATATATACTTGCAGGAAATTTTAAAGCACAAAATTGAAGTTATCTTTGATGGAATTGTCAAGTTTTGAAAAGACAAAGAAGGCAAGATGGAGACTACTCGTTGAGTCTCTCCCGTAACCTGTGCTTCTTGTATAGGCCCTTTTTGGGGAGGGGTGAAATAATGATACTGATTTTCAACTGACGTTGAGTTCAATTTTGTTGTTTTTGAATTTAAGGATTATTATTTGCATGGGTATTTATCATTCCATTCCAAGATTTGAAGGAAAAATAATTTTGTCACTAAAATGTCCAGCCAGCACTTCTTCCCACCTCTTGTGGGAGGTTTGTTGAGAACAGTCTGTGAAGAGCAGTGGTTGGTAGGGGTGTTGTAGAGGACTGGAAGTCAGGACAAGGGGCCCCGATGGGGAGCATTTCGTGTCCTGGACACAGAATTCCCAAATCAAAATCATTCAAGAGATGGAGCAAAGGAGGATGGGGGGGAAAGAGAATGTATCTTGAGATAATATGGGATGTAGAAGGTAATAAAATGTCTAATTTGTATCTTTGCATATTTAATATATAGATTCTTGTCTTAGGAATATTTTCCCACGTTTAGAGTTTCTGATGGCCTCATTCACCACTAAATTTAAAATTTTTTTCTAGGCTGTCGTTCATGAATCTGAAGGATTGCTGGGGTACATTTACTGTGATTTTTTTCAGCGAGCAGACAAACCACATCAGGTGATCCTTTATTTATAAACTGGTCTCTCTAGAAGAAATCAGCAGTTAATTTGTATTAATGTGAACTTTATATATCATTTTTATAGTACCATAATATGTAAAAGGCACTAATGATAGTTACTAAATATATAAATTTGAAATTAGGATGTAATTTAAAAATAGTAAAGGTTGTAGAAATAATTACATAAATCTGTATCTTTTTTGAGTCATGATATTAATGATAGTAATAATGACAGGTGACATTTTATGAACTCTCATTTGTGCCAGCCAGTGCACTGAGCTGTTTATATACGTCGTATCTTTTAATGTTCACCTCAACCTCTTGTCCTTGGTTCTAACATGATGAGGAAGTTGAGGCCAGAGAGGTTAAATTACTTGCCCAGAGTCACACAGTTAGAAGTGTTAGGATTTGATCCTAAACATTCTGAATAGAGATCCAGCTCTTAACTTCTTTCCAGATTTGACAATTAACCTGTTTTCTTTTCTTTTTCTTTTTTAAAGATGACCGGTAAGGGGGTCTTAACCCTTGACTTGGTGTTGTCAGCACCGTGCTCTCCCAAGTGAACTAACTGGCCATCCCTATAGGGGATGCAAACACATGGCCTTGCTGTTATCAGCACCACATTCTCCCAAGTGAGCCCTGTCCGGCCCCTGGCAATTAACCTATTTTCAAATTGTAGGAGATATGTCCAAATTACCTCCCTATATGGAAGCTGTGAGGTTCCCTTTCTTTTTTCCCTTTAGCTGCATACTAGTCAGCCTTAGCAATTTTCATGCAACTAGATGGGAAATATCAAGAGTTGAGGTTTTAAGTTATAACAGAAATAATGGCACCTTCTATTTGAATAGTGATTCATAATTCCATAGCATTTTAACAGATGTGGGTTTATGAAATCTGGACAACCACTCTGGGATTTGACAAAGTAGCATTTCAGAGAAGAGGCTCGTAGAGGCAAATCACTTTCCAACATGATTTGGCTAGTAGGTGTCGAAGGTGGGAGCAGAGTCCAGATCATCAGACTCTGACTCCCGTGTTCTTCCTCTTTGCCTGAATGGATGGTGGAGGCTCCACTTTGGTCATTAGGAGCCCCGGCTCCTACTTGTTGGCCTGGGTACAGATCTCAGATATAGCAATTCTAGCTGGGGTTTTTTTGGACATGTCACTTAACATTTTCAAGACTCAGTTTCAGTTTTCTCATCTGAAAAGTGAGACACCTGCCTCATGGGATTGTTGTGAAGAATAAGCGAAAGTGTATGTGTGTCTCAGTGTAGGACCTGTTTCAGAGTAACTTACTGCAGATTGCTTGCTTTATGGTAGTTTAGAACCCGTCACTTCCAAGTGTTAGACAACAGACATGGAAAGTGCACCTACTTCACTGTCTGACATGTAGCAGGAACTCAAAATAAGTATTAGTGTCTCGTCTTCAGTAGCTGATGTCTGCCCCTTCCCAATTACAAGGGCATGGATCTAAGCTCTTTGCTGACTTTGTTTCTAGCACCTGGCACAGTTTCAGTTTATTGCATGTTTTTGGAGTAAATGAATGAATTAATCAGTACAAGCTCAATGTATTATTGGTGTTTTAAAATTTTTTTAGCAGAATAAAAAGTGTCAAGGAAAAGTGTCTATAACTAAATATATATAGTAAGAATCGAATTAAAGTTTGAACTCACAAACTTTGGTATAATTTTATATTTATTAGGACAGTTTTATTCTTCAGATTGCCTAATACTTTCTTCTCCTTTTATGTTTTCTGATTCTCAAAGGATTGCCATTTTACAATCCGTGGAGGTAGATTAAAGGAAGATGGAGAATATCAACTCCCAGTAGTAGTTCTTATGCTGAATCTTCCCCATTCCTCAAGGAATTCACCAACTTTATTAACTCCTGGAATGATGGAAAATCTTTTCCATGAAATGGGGCATGCCATGCATTCTATGCTGGGACGCACTCGTTACCAGCATGTCACTGGTGAGCCATGAAGAGGGCTTTTATTTAATACTATCCATTAAAAAAAGTTCTTTTTCTTTTAGTTTGGAAAAAGGCCTTTTTATTTGGAAAAATCTGATCATTTAATAATGTCGTATGACCCTTTATCTCAGATTGTTTTATCATCTTGTTCTTCCTGTTGTTATGCAACCTGATCCTCTCACACTTTATTCCTTCCTTGCTAACAGCTCTCACCAAGGAATAAGTCTCAGTTGTCTGTCTTTTGAGTTCATACCTTTTTAATTCTTATAGTGGAATTTAAGTTTGTGGCTATGTGTGTGTGAGAATAAATATGTACGAGTATCTTTTTAGGATCTAGCACAGAGTTAAAGGATAAGTGAATGGATGTTGCCTCCTTTTATTCAAAATCAGTTAGAAAAAAAAATAAACTATCTTTAAAAAGTATGATAAGGTACTTTTTATTTTATTCTGCTTTCCCTGTATAAAATCGTGGTTCTGCTCTGTTAGTTTTCTGTGCTGATCTGTGGCCATCATTGATGGTACCCAGACTTTCCTCCTAGTTGTGTCATCTCTGTGTCTTAAGCTCCCTGTCATCCGTGGTCAGTAGGAGACCACCTGGTCAATTGTTGGCATCCAGTATTTATTAACTAACCTTACACACATAGAATGTTGGGCGAGGAGAAGAGATTTGAAAAGACTGTAGGTGGGCTGAACAGAATCATAAAATGCCACCAAAAAATCTTATAGGAATTGTGTTAAGTAATTCTGAGTTTAAAATATTACTTTTTCTTACTGGATTGACTTTGTTACAAAAAAACAATAAATGGATAAAATAAAGTACTGTTAAAATAAATGAAGGATAAAAGCATTTGGTAATGGAATTCAGCAAATTAAATACAAATGCTATATTAATTGTAAGAATGTTTTAATTTGTGTTTCATGTACAGCCAGTGTAGCTGAAGACAGGTTTGTTTGTAGAGGGTGTGAGTCGTTGCTTTATAAGGTGTTTTAGCAGCTGTGCAAATATTTTGTTTTAATATAAAGGAAAATATATAGGATTATAATAAACTTTTCTGTAAATATGTACAATAATTTTATAGAAGTAAAATATTGGTTTAATGAATTAAAGCTTATCATAGTTCATCAGAGCTACAAATAAAAGTTTTAAAAGGGTACATAAAAAGTGAGTTAAATATATTGATTTCATTCATGCCAACTTTTTTTTCTTTTCCCCCATTTTAGGGACCAGGTGCCCCACTGATTTTGCAGAGGTTCCTTCTATTCTGATGGAGTACTTTGCAAATGATTATCGAGTGGTTAACCAGTTTGCCAGACATTATCAGACTGGGCAGGTAGGAATATTAATATTGTCATATTTTCCTTTGGGTTGTGATGGTCAGCTTTTGTGACCTGCTGGATAACATGAACTCTTCCTGCTTTTTCAGAACTCTGTCACTCTCTCAGTACCAGATTCCTTTTTTTTTTCTGATTCCCTTTTTTTTCCCTCATACTATAGAATCATAGTCCTAGCATATAGTCATGTGTTGAAAAGTAGCAACCCTTTAGTGTGTGTCAAGTAATGTACCACTTGTCCTCATGATCATCCCACAAGGAATGCACTTTGTCCCCTTTTTCTAGATGAAGAAACAAGCTCCGTCGTAGACCAGGCATTCAAGTCTGTCTCAGTTTTAAAAAGCCTTTGCTTCTGAACATTTGTTCTCTCAGTCTGAATTTTTATGTTGTTTCATACAACTGAACTACAGGGACATATTTTGCCAGTGTGCTTAGCATCCATATGATGCCAAGTCTGAAAATTCCTTAATTTCCAGGTTTAGATTTCAGCGGTGTATTGTAATTTTAAAGATTTTTAAATTAAAATGAGAGATAACATAGTAAGTTAGCTGTAAGCGTAACTATGAATATTGAGCCGTTTACTGCCCACGTGCACATTGGAAGATATATTCTTTCCCTTCTTTTGGAAATTTGGTTTGATAGTATTACATTAGGTGGTATTTCTCCCCCCAGAGTGTACTTACCTGGTGCAACTGTGAATTATTATATTCAGATTTCAGTCCCTGGCACTTAGAACCATGCCTAGCACAAAGAAAGCACTAACCAATTAAATGGAGAAAAGAATATAACTAGGAAAAAAAGGACCAAAACCACCTTTATTTGTGACTAATTTTCTGATTGTGTCCCCAGATGCATAATATGATTTGGTCATTTCTTTTTTTTTTTGGACTTGATTTTATCTAACTCTTATTATCAACTGTAGAATAACGGACGAGTTTCTGGATCACTGATCTGACAGAGCTCACATCATAATTTATTTCAGTTACTAAGACGGCAAAATTGAAATATTTGTGATCCAGTTAACTTCCTGTCCATTAACCTGCTCTGGGAGTTGCTCTGGGAATCATGTAGACTTAGCCAATAACATAGAAGCACATACTCCACTAGATGCTAGTATAGCCCATGCATGGCTCCGGTGGGGGCGTGGGAGCAATGGGGGG